TAATAAAAAATGTTTCATGAGGCACACACGCGAGCAGCTTGTAGTATCTTGTGGGTAATGTAATTCGTTAGCATAACACGAGCTGCACATCTCCCAAATGATTTACAACTTATAATGGTGTGGAGAGTAGTTAGACACAGTTCAAAGGGCTATAAAAGAATAAAATTTAATTATAAATAGCATATACTGTTAAGAACTTAGAGCTAATTTGGATAAATGTTACAATTTGAAGTCATTCATAGAAAGAAAAAAGGGTAATTTAGATTTATTTCGATTTTTTGTTGTGGTTGTGAGGTCAGTCAAAATGACCGATTCTGTTTTGAGATAGGGTAAAGAAAATAACAGATAAACTATAAAGTTTTACTGAAAAACAACATTTGAAATGCATTTAGGAAGTTTTAGGGATTACATAAAGGAAATTTAAAATTTTTGAGAGGAGAAAAAGTATTTTTAATTTGCACATGAAAATTACTTTGCACATGAACTACTCAAAACAAATACTCATTATATTCATGGACAAATCTTTATTTTATCTTCTAAAAAATAATATTTCTTTAACGTGAAAGACTTATAATATTAACTGAAAGTCTGCCAAATTTTGTGAGGATATACACACTATATTGAAAGTTAGAGGTATTAAATCTACAAACACTTTAAACGAGTACAAAGATGTCACGTGGTCGTCAAATTGACATCTGATTTATTTTGTGTACAACAGATTTCTACTATTTAACAAAAGTACACTACATTTTGTGATGATACACATGGTAACTTTGGAATTATAGTCAACATTACTTCTCCAACACCTAAAACAGCTATTTATTTTTTTTTTTTAAAACAATCATGTAAGGATAATAACTTCAAAATATTTTGATGTTTAAGAAATGATAACACAAAGTAACATAAATTTAAACTGCAGTATTTCCATCACAGCAATGGTTTGTTTAGTTTTGTTGTGGTTTCTAAGAATAAATTGAAACCAATTCTTATTCCAGATGAACCTTGAAGAACAATTGACAGAGTCCGAAGCCAAAAGATTAAGTCAAGAAGCTTCATCATTAGCAACATTAGAGCACAAGGTGAGCATGTAGTTGGTCTTATCCTATTACATTAGATAATTTTTAAGTTTTTAAATATCTTTAACTCTTCATTTTTGCATATACCTCTTAACCCTCTCGCTATGGGCATCTTTTTTGTGCACATCATGAGGTTTTACTGAGTTGCATTCAAAATTTAATTAAAGTACTTTATTATCATGATATACAAATAAACTTGGCATCACAACATAGGTAATAATCCAAATTTTAATATATAAATTTTAAGTTCTTAATTTTATAAGGCAATATTTCAAAAAAATCCTCAATTTTTCCTGGTATGAGAATTGTAACATTTGCTCTATAGGAACCCCTCTTCTCTAATTTATTTACCATCCCTCTAAGAAGTATGAAATATAATGTAAATTACTCATTATAATGTTGTAATCACTCAGGCAAAGCATAATTTTTATAGCCTACAATCTTATTTGGTTACAAAGCCATAAACTAGAAAATCAGACCCCTCTTGCCACACCCACCTGTTACATCCTCTCTTTCATAAATTTCCAATGATTCTCTCTGATGTTTAATACTATATCATTTATAATCAGTTGAAAGCCAAAGTTTTAAATCTATCAAATGATGTATTATATTACATTGTTTTCTCTACATAGAATTGATTGTTTCGATTCCAGTTCAAACCTTATTCCCACAAGAAACACACTGGCGAGCTTAACTGAATTCTTAACAGCTCTTGTTGCATAGTTAGAACTCAGAAAAACTGTGGGGTTATAGGACATTGTATGTTTTTTATATGTTATTATTCTGTGTTCTTTGGCACATTATTTAATTAAATAAAAAATTATTTAGTGCAGTAGTTCCATTAGTATAAAAAAGTAGGGTTAAGTTTCATCGACAGTTGGCAGCAAAAAATAAGAAGACTCATAAAAATACTATATCGCTTGTTTTTCATGTGTATTCTTTATTATTATAATATGGGTTATAAGATATAAAAATTAAACACTTTTTAGGTTAGAAAGGTTAGATTAGGTAAAATATAAGTGAGCAACTCACAAGTAACCTGTGTGTTATGTAATTTGATAGGATAAGGTAAACCAAGTGATTTACACCTTGCGTGTCAGTAACATTAGTTAGACATGGTTCAAAGGACAATAAAATTTAAGTAGAAACAGGTGTATACTGCTACGAGTTTAAAGCTATTTAGGATAAACAAAGGTAGTTTTATGTTACAATTTGAAGTCATTTGAGAAAAAGAAAAGGATAATTTAGGTTTATTTCATATTTTTATTGTAGAATTGACCAACCTTGTAAGAGGTAGGATAGAGAAAATTACACATAAAATTTAAAGTTTTACTAAAAAATATATTTGAAATTTATTTAGGAGGTTTTAAAGATTATACAAATGAAAGTTGAGATTTTTCAGATGAAGAAAAGTATTTTTAATCTTAACATGAAAATCACTTAGCACTTGGAATAGTCAACACTTTGATTCCGTATATATACATGAATAAAACTTTTAGTGAAAATACTTCATTCAAATTTTTATTTTCTGTCTGGAAAAGATTCTTAATGATTACTGAAAGCTTGCAAAATTTCATGAAGATACACAAAACATTTTAGAAGTTATAGTATGGAAACTATAAAGATCAATTTGGGGTCAAGATTTAGGTCAAGTTGACTGAGTCCATCATGGGAGAATTAATAGCTTTGAATTAAAAATTATTTCATATAAGATAACGTTTTTTGGATTAAGATATTTGAAATTTACTGAGTTTTGAACAAGCAATGCAATTTAAACTTCAGTTTTACAGTAATTGATTTATTATTAAAGTGGCACTGTATAAAGTGAGAATCATTCATTGAACATTATAATAAAAATATTAAGGTTTATAATAACTTTTCATGTTCAACCAAGTTTTAAAATGTTCTATAGTGATTATTTCTTTGATCAAATGGTACCAGATAATTTCAAGCTTATTTTACTTTGTTTTTCAGATCAATAAGCTACAAACTGAAGCAAATAGAAAACATGAAGAACAAGTAAGAGGATTAGAAATTCAACATAAGAAAGAAAAAGATTCCTTGGTTGAATCTTATGAAGAACAACTTCAGTTAGCATATCAAAGTCATCAAAAGGAAATTGATGAATTGAAAAGGGAACTTAATCAAAAAATTATTGATAAAAATAGTGAGTAAGTAAAACTTATTTTTGAAGCACTCTACAGTATCTTACTAAAGTTTTAATAAGTTATTTATTTGAATACATTTTTATTATTGTTCATGCTAGTCATATATATTTGATAATAGAGAAATTGTTTATATACATTACAGACTTATGATAGTGTTTGAGGAAGTCCAAAGACTGAGACACAGTTTGGAGAGACTTGAAACATCAAGGTATTGAAAGTTAAAAACATATCCATAGATATATCTAATTTTTCATATGATGTTTATTATTAGTTTATCAAAAAATTAGTTATTTTAATGAGAACATTAATGTATATTTTGTGTTTTCTGTACTTACTGGAATCAGATTATTTTCAAGTATAATAATAATTCTGGCATTTCCCTATTCCTTGTGAAAAATAGAATGATAGAAATTTGAACTATGTTAGAATATAAGTGAACCAAAATGAAATACAGTTGAAATTTGCTAACATACTTTTTCTCATCAAAAATTGGTTTTTAAAAATTGACATTATAAGCAATAAATTTAAATATATATGGGGTTTGCTGTGTTGATACAGAATCCATACAGTACAGTCCAACTTTAACTACCTGCAGGTTATGAACTTGAGATGTCATGATTATGCAAGATTAACTGGAATAATTTTAAGTTATATGGTTCTTCATACAATGACAGCTATTACGATTATTAGATACACTCAGTGCAACCACTTTGAAAATAGTGTGAGAAAACAAGATGGGGTTATCTGAAATCTTGAAACTCTTAAAAAACAAAAATTTATAGTGTTCTTACATGAATAGCAGGAAATTTCATGCTTTGCATTTGTACCATTATGAATCACTTTTTTGTCTCCTCCTTTCTTTATATATACATGTTAGTCATTAATATTAACTTCTGATCAAAGGAAGCTACCTATGTAGATCAGAACTAAAAATGTATATACCTAGTAATGAATATAGCTAATTAAATATAACGTTCAAACTGTACTACTTAAAATGATTAGAATGCTGTTTCATCAGTTGTGTATCCTTGGTGTTAGATATTTTCATCTGTAAACCCAATAATATCTCGTAAGGTTCAGCCAATCCAGTTCTAAAATTCATAAACTAAGCTAACAATGAGAAATAATTGAAAAAATAAATAATATAAGGAGATATATTAAATATTATAACCACCACTGTGTGTCTGTACTGTGAAAAAAGTTGTATTTGGCTTAGCCAGCTTAATGGCTTTAAGTTAGTTATAAGTCTAAAGTAGTGGTGCTAGTTCATTCAGGTCATTATGGGATATACAAAGATATACTAACAATTTTAATAGTATTAGTCTAAGTAGGAGTAAATTCCAGCCTGTACATGCTGGTACACGTTTGGTAACTCTCAAATCTCTCATATCCTGGATGTTATTATTTGGTTAGCTATTAGGGAATGTATTTAATGAAAATCTAAACAACTGCAAGGTCTTTGTATATCAACTTAGCTGTAAAAACTGTATAATAATTGGAAAAGGATGGACATAAAAAAAAGTTAAAATTTATTCCTGTGCATTAACAATGTATGTCTAATTTTAATAAAACATCACACTTCAAACATTCATTATCATTTTTATTCACAATAGACACATTATGATGTGCTTGTAATATATATTACTCTCTCTTTTTATATATACTTTAAAGCAGGGATAAATCTCTGGAATAACTTAGTGTCAGTACTCAATAAACCTGCAAGGCAAGTTTGCAATATACCTACATGATTTCTAAAGTTATTTAATCATTTAACAGAGAAGTAAGTATTGTAAAAATTGTACTATAATAACTGTGTTTATATATTAAGCAAAAAAATATTTGGGCAGGTATTTAGCACTGCCCCTAAATCTATTTTTGAGTATTAAAGGCTTGTATCATAAACAGTGTGTTCATAAATTGAAAAATTAAATGGATGGCTGAATATAAAAGACAAGTTCACCGAGTTTCAACTGAATGAAGTGATCGCACCTGAAAATGAAACCTTTGTATATAGTATTTGATGAAAGAAATTATCACATCTGATGACAACTAGAGATTGGAACCTTTGTGTATAGTACTTGATGATGAAATGATCTCACCTGATGACAACTAGGGAGTGAAACCTTTATATATAGCATTTGATGAATGAAATGATCACTCCTGATAATAACTAGAGAAGGAAACCTTTTTGCATAGCACTTGATGGAAATCTCAGGTTTTGAATACTTGTGTATTAACTGCTATAATTTGTTTTCAGCAAGCTACCATGCTGCAGGCATGTGATAAATATATTAAGTTTTGAATACATAAGACTCAATAAGTTTGACAGATTCAGCAAAAATTGTCAGAGTGAATAGGGCCAGAAAAGCGACTCAAACAACAGGTAAATTTGACTGAATAAATATACCTTTACTTAATAGTGTGATGATCAATTATCACCAGAATATACCTGCACTCAAAGTTAAATTGTAAATACTTTCTTGAGGCATTAAATGTCCTTCAGAAGGAAATTACTAATTAACATTGCAGTTTTTAATGTTAGTTTTAGTTGAATTCAGAAGCAACCTAAAATATGTAACTTCATATTGAAGCCTATTAGTGAATTACAAGTAAGGTAAATAGAAAGATGTAGAAATAGAAGAATAATTGTTTTAAAGCAGACAACATAAATAAGGTTATTTTCACTTTTTTTGTGTAAATATTTAGATATGTCCAAAAATCATGGAATTGGTTCGAGAGAAGTAAGTAGCGATATTTCATTGCACCAAAAAACAAAATTTATCATAAGAATAACAAATTTGCAGTATCATTTGATTATTCGTCAGGTTACTCTACACATCTTTTTTTTCCAATGACATCATTCTGCTGGAAATTTGAACTATATATTTTTAAAAATTTTAAACAAAAACAGATTTTATGCAAACCCATGAAAAAGGAGATGCATGTTATTTGTTATATAGTATTAATATACTAGGTACATATAATAACAAGATAACTGTTTCTACTCTGATTGCTGTATAAAAAATTAATTATCTCAACTGCAAAATACGGGTTTTTTTTAATAATTTATCAACTGTAGATCTGCTTTATTCACATGCTTAAAATGTTAGTGTTATTTCTACATGCATAACTGTAAGCTTAATGTTTAGCTCTTGTGATATTATTCACAAAATAAAACATTTCCTACAAAGCCAGTTTCTAAAAACTTAAAACAATCTTTACAAAAATTAGTGAAATTATCTTATTTACAGGGTTTTGAAAAACTAGCAGTATTTTTTTTAGATATAATTAATTTGAATGGAAATGAAACACTTGTGGTTGTATAAACTTATACAAAAACTGAGAATGTCAGAAGTGACCTAACAACTAAGTTAGCTTATGTGGAGTAATACAGAGCATTTGGTACAATATTCCACAATTATATGAAAACAAAGTGTAAAGCAAAGGACTAACATACAAAATACTACACTGTACAAAATGTTTTTTGTTTTCTGTAATAATGTCTCGCAATCAATCATCATCTAGTAGTAATTGCCCATTGTTTGTGACTCATTTATGTGTGTTGTTTGCATACCTTACTATAATGGAACGATGGTGCCATCTGTTGTGATGAAATACAACAAGATCTCAATGCCACGAGTGATTGAGGCTCATGAAATGTTGCATCATCTATTGAATGGCACCACAAACAAAAATCCATTAAAAAAATTCACACACTTTGGGTATTCAAGATTCAGATAGTTAGAAAAATAACTATGGTATGTGCAACAACCATTTCTTTATGACAGAACACAATTATAAATAAAAGTACTTTTTTCACAGTAAGAACATGAATTTCAGTAGGACTGTATGTTAAGGTTTGATTATATCTAAATTGATGTAATTTTTAAATGTAGTACTAATAAATTGGAATTCTTAAAAAAAAAGTTTTTTTTCAATAAAGGATAGCACTTTCAATATATCAAAACATTACAGTTTATATGAGTAAAATTTATGAAAATATTGAGCTCTGTACATTGAATCATTTTGATGCAATGAATTGCATATGACTAAAGAGCACAATCCAAACACTTTTCCTGTGTAGTACTTCCCAGACAAAATTACTTTTTTAGCATATGTTTTCTTTTTAACAATGAGGTATGAATACTACAGTTACAAATTGTTTTCAATATCATTTGTGTATGTGTGTATATACACACACACACATCTGCAGGTCATATGTTTAACACAGTTGAAACATATATATAGATACATACCCCAAAGTACACATTTCCTGTGCAGTAATTTTTCTTTTTCTGCAGTTTCTGTTGTTTCCTTAGTGTCAGTTTGCTATGTTCATTTAACAATATGTGGAAAAATTGTGTAGACAAAACTGCAGTTTTTTTATGTTTCGTGTCTTCCTAGAAGTCAGATCCTATCCAGGTTGCAAGCTCTCTTACAGTTTCACTGGCTGGAAGCTTTAGATCTCTTGTATGGGAGTTCCTCTACTGTTTCAGAGAAGGAAGACAAGGTGACTTTTTAAAATTGTTGTAAAGAATGAATTTTTAGATAAAAGAAAACTTTTGGAAATTTGTAAATCATGTTATTTAATTCAAATCAACTCCTTTAATGTTGTTTAAATAGTTCAAGAAAATTCATATTTGATGAAAGGTTTTTTATTAATGTTTAAAATAATGGTCTATTCCAGAAGTATTTTTTTCATTCAATATTATATCCAAAATTTCACAAATATGTTGCAGATTATTTAATGTATTATTATGAGTTGTTTAATAAGATGTTTATTATTGGCTTAGTCCATTAATAATGTACTAATGGTTTTGAAGCAGACTTATTGTAGTATAGCCAGGGTTTTTTTTACCACTAAGTATTACTGCTGTATATGTTTGAGTGTACAGTATACACGGGGTATTACAAATTTAAAAATCTTGTTTTATAAATTTGCTATATTGGCAAAAATAAAATTATTTTAGTTGTTTTAAGTGCATGCCTATTAAAGATCTTAAATGTAGCAGGTTTCTTTGTTATAATTAAAGGTTATAATTAAGCTGAATTTTCTTTCAATACTGGCTTTGATATTTGACTGTAAAACTAATCACCAGTTACACTGTTGTTAGATACACACATTTTATAATTCATCATAAAAATAAGGAATTTTTTAACTTACTGTAACTTTGTGGAAATGATACTGTTCAACAAAGTTTTTTTGTTTGTTACATACTAGTACATGTAATGATAAATTTGGTGAGCCTTATTTGAAGTTTCAGTCAATGATTCCTTCTAATACACAACTCAGGACATTTAAGGAATATTTGGAGTTGTCTTTATTCTAGCTACAACAGGGCATAATTACTACTATTATATAATGGTTGTATCATCCCCTTCTGTTAATTGTTATGCTAAATAAGTGTCAGGTGATTGTTCATGTGATCTTTTACATCCACTTAGCAGTATATAATATTGAAGGAAACTTAGTGTGTTCTTAGCTTCTTGAATAACAACAGTGTGTGTAAGAGTTGTAGATTGATGATGAAAGTTGCTAGGACCCCAAGACTTTGATGATGATCAAACACAACACTTCATTTCAGGGTGATTAGCAGGATGTGGACTTGGTTCCAGAGCACTAATACAGTTGGCTTAAGACCTAGACAGACTTGATACAGTGATTGAGCCTAAGCTTTCTAACTTAAGCAACAGTTCAGAACATTAATCGGTTGGTGATTCAGTATTCAAATGGTCTGAAACAAGCTTCTTAAGGTTGGTCTTTGTGCCAGGCTACCAGTGGTTTACATTCTTCTATTCCATCATTACATAACAGTCTATCTTCAGTAGTTATAGTGTGAATTTCTTTTCAAAATTGGCAAAACATGATTATTATTAATTAACCCTATTAGGATGGGCACCTATATTTTACAGAACTTTGTGACCACTATGTAACTATGGTGTTATACATACTGAAAGCACTAATTGTATCTTCATGGAACTTGGCAAGCTTTCATTAAACTTTAAACAAAAAAATTTCTGTTTAATTATATAGTGTCAATGTTGGCTGCACCAAGTGCAAAGTGATTATTAAGATTAAGAATATTTTTATCTGAAAATTTTCAAATTTCGTTTCCATAATCCCTAAGATCTCCTTCATAAAAATGGAATGTTTTCTTTTTTCAAAAAACTATTTTATCTGTTATTTTCTCTACATTATACAAGGTTGGTCAATTTGACCAATCTCGTAACCACGCAAAAAAATTTCGAAATGAATCTAAATTACCCTTTTTTCTTTCTAGAATGACTTCAAATTGTAACATGAAACTACCTTTGTTTATCTTAAATAGCTTAAATATTGTAACAGTATACCTCTGTTTATACCTAAATTTTAGTGTTTTATTGCCCTTTGAACTATGTCAACTAATATTCCTGCCATAAAATTTTAAATTACTTGGTGAATGTGCAAGCTTACATTACTCTATTGAATTACATAATGCATGGGCTACTAGCGAGAAGCTTGTAAGCATACCTCTTGAACAATTTTTATTGTTATTTATTTTACCTAATATAACCTAAAAAGTTTCTAATTTTTACATTTTAGATACTTTTATAATGATAAATAAGGAGTACACCTGAAAATCAAGAAATAAAGTATTTACCTGGGTTGTCATCTTTTTGCTGTTAACTGTTGATGACACTTAACCTTACTTTTTTATACTAATGATACTACTGCAATAAATAAGTTTTTATTTAATTAAATAATGCTCCAAAGAACTCAGAATATTAACATGCAAAAAGCAGAATACATCCCATAACTATCACAATTATTGTAGCTTTTTTAACTATGCAGCAAGAGCCATTAGAAATTCAGCTAAACTTGTCGATTTCTTTCCCATGAGAATCAAGTTTGAACTAGAAGCAAAACTGACAATTATCAGTGCAGAAAACAACATAATGTAATACTTCATTTGTTAGATTGAAGCTTTTGCTTTCTATTGGTTCTAAATGATATAATATTAAATGTTAAAGAGAACTATTTCAAATTTGTGACAGTTGGGGGGGGTCTCATTTTCTAGTTTATGGTCCTGAAACCATATAAGATCATAGGCTATAAAAATTATGCTTTGCCTGAGTAATAATAATATTATAATGAGTAATTTATGTTGAATTCCAAACTTGTTGGAGGGGTGGTAAATAAATTAAAGAAGTGGAGAGACATAGATAACAAATGTCACAGTTCTCATATTAGGGGAGGTTGAGATTTTTTTTCCAAATATTTCTTTATAAAATTAAGAACTTAAATAATATTAAAATTGCATTTATTAACTATGTTTTGATACCAAGTTTCTTAATAAATATTGTTAATAAAGTAGCTTAATTAAATTTTGAATGTAACTGCGAAAGATGTGCACTTTTACCTACCCGATGCAAAAGGGTTAAACTTGTCACACGACAATAGTATTTCCTTAAGGTCTTTCAAGAAGAAAAGTATATAATAGTGTTTCAACCACACTATCTGCCATATTTGTTGTGGACAATGTTTTTTGCTCAGTACAGAACTCATCAGACTGGCTGGGACACAACAAATAGAGTAGTGGTCAGAACACTGTTTATATAAGCCATTTATATCTTGAAAAACACTTAAGGACTGAATAAAGAATGTAGTGTTAAAAATATAATACAATGTCTTGTAACAAGTATAATTAAATATCATCATACATCAGCTTAGGAAAGGCATTCACACCATAAGTTATCTTCAGTAGTGTAAAGAACATGTAGATTTGTCAAATGACGTGAGTATACATCTTGTTCGTAGACAAGTTAACTTCACATTACAGCTAGATACGAGATGTGCAAATTGTATGTCATATTGTGAAATCAGTCATTCATAAAATGTTTACAGCATGCTTGTAACATTTTTAAAGAGTGTATGGGAACAGATCCAACCCTATTTTCACGGAGGAAAGATGCACACATGGAGGTAGTGATAAACTTGTACTTGTGTGTATATATATATATATATATAGATTCACTTTTGGTAGTCATAGTCATCATTAGGTATTGTGACATGGTGCTTGAATTGTCATATGATGTCGGGATGCAATCTTACAATCATCATTGTTGACGTACAGAAGTCAGTCACTTAGAACTTTCTTTTTTAATGAATAATAATCCATGTTCCCACTGTGTTCAACTGTTTATCAACTTCAGAGAAGAAAAAGATATTGAGTGAATTACAGACTAGCCAATATGCTTTGAATCCAGTTGAACATGTATGGAGTGCTCCCAGAAAACACTTGGCAACACATTATTCACTGCCAGTCAGTGTTGATAAACTAGAATTAGCTCTGATAGAGGAGTGTAGTACTATATATAACACAAGTTATATATATATATATATATATGTGTGTGTGTGTGTGTAGGTCCCATGACATTGTCATGTGACTACCATAAATCTTCATAGTGTGCTTACACAGAAGTTTTGGAATGAATACTGAGGCTTCTCTAATATTCATTGCTTTACTTCTGCAGTTGTGTATTGTTGCTTAGCCGTGATAAAAAAAAAAAAGGAGGATTAACTATGTTTTCACATGTATAAGAGGTTTCCACTCTATGTCATCAAAGAAGTGAATGCCAGAGAGTCCCAAGATTTATCCCAATTAAGTTTTGAATACTGGATGACTGTAAAATGTACATTATTCAAAAAGTTGCATTATTTTTATTTGGTGTGGCATTAAAATGGATGATCCTGGAAGTAAACTCATCAATTCTGCAAGTTTTTCAAATGATTGTGAATTATTCTTTTTTTTTTTCATGGGTTTGTGTGTGGAATAGCAGGATTCCAGGTGGACAGAAATCTTGCAGATGATAAAATCCTTCCAGAATTTGGTGAAATTATATAGTGAGATTGACTGAAACTGGCTATGGCATATAAATTTTTCCTTATTTTTTTATAACATTCTGCAATATATATATGATTCATACTTTCTTCATTTCAGAATTCCTGGACAGAACTGGATAGAACCAGCAATATTGAAACAGAAACAAAGAAAACGGACATAAACCCATCATATCTCTGGTCAAATGATGTATCTCAAAATCTTGTGAAAACCTTGTTTAAAACAAGTGAAAATTTAAATGACTCGCATCACTTGAAAGAGAAACTACATAACAAATGCCAGAGTGAATCAAATGACACACTTTCACATCCATACAAATCAGACATTGCTGGATTGAGAGATCTTTACTGGTATCCAGTCACTGAAGATATTCAACCAATCCAAAACTCTGTAAGCATGGCCAATAATGTGACTCACCCAAACAAAAAACATCCAAATATTGCTGATAATGTACAAACAGTCTTTTCATCAAATGAGGGTACATGTAGCCTTACTGGTTTTGATATGTCAAAAGATCTGAAGTTGATTGTTCCACAAAAACTTGAGAGATCATTGAATCGAGACACAATACCAAATGAATTGCTTGATATCAGAAGGGATTTTTTGGAAACTAGGTCTTTACATGAACTTCCTAATGCAAAGGAATATGTTGAGTCAACAAATTGTGAAGTAATTAACAGAGATTGTACTGAAGACTTAGATATAACTAATCACACATCTGCAAAGCTTGATATTATATCTGCTGTAAAATTAAATCCTCTCACTGGTGTGAGTTGGGAAAATCAAACATTTATGACTCCTAGAATCTCAGAACAGCCAATGTACTACAACATTTGCAGTATAAATCACTCTCTCTTTCCCAAGGCTGATTTTAGTAATAATTCTCAGTTATTAGATACTCAAGTAATTCATCCAGTAGTTTCCAAAGACAGTAGTACTTTTCAGCCGGTATCCTCCGACTACAGCAGCATGGTTCATTCAGTAACTTCAAACTGTAATAATAATACTACTATTCAGCCAGTAACCTCCAACTACAATACCACAGTTCAACCAGTTACTTCTATTATTCATAATACCACAGTTCTCCCATTAACCTCCCATCATAGCAGCATATTTCAGCCAGTACTCTCCAACCTCATTAACAGAAATCAGCCAGTAACTTCAAGTAGCTCATTTCTTAACAACATAGCATTACCATTAACTTCAAACCAGACTCTTGACTTTGATGTGCAGCCTGTGTTTTCCCATGTAATTAAGCCTGTAGAGTTAAAAACTGACCTTAAGAACCTTACACAACTACTTCAGTTAGGCAGAGATCCAGGTGACAAACAAAAACCTTATAATTATAATAATAATAATGCAACTGAAGTTATTGAACCAAAATTTTCCAAGTCATGTTATTCTACAGCCTTTAACTCTTGCCCCTCTAACACATTAAGTCCTCATTTAGATAATATTAACTCAGCATACTTGGTAGCATCTGACAGTGATCATAACAAAATTGTTTCATCATTAGCTTCTAACTCTGTTCTCGCTAGCTCAGTTCAGTCAGCAGATTCAAACCTTACAAACACAGTTTGCTCAGTAACTTCTAGATCAAATCTCACTAATTCTAGCCAGTCTGTGACCAGTAGACCAGACTTTACCAACTCAATTCAGTCAGCAGAATCTTGTTCAGTTTCTAACAGAACATCTACCATCTTGAACAATGGTTGTCATCCGTCCAATATGATAGATTCTGATATAAAAGATGATCTTACTGGTAAATACAATTAAGTTCATTATTTGTATTGTTTTGATAAAAAACTATTAATTCAGTTAGTAATTTAAAATGTTTCTACAATACCCTTGGATATATATATTCATTCTTAATCAGAAGAAAATGCTTTTGGAGAGGGTAATTTTAATACCATTAAATTGTATTTACTTGATAGGTGTATTGGTAATAGTATTTATGTATATACATTGTACTAAATTATCAGTGTTATCCAGTTGAAAAATCTTTTATATTTGTAAATATTTTTTTGTGTGTTGCATGACTTTGAACAGACAAAACTACTGAAACTTTTGAAGACTGGCTCAGTTCTAAAGAGAATTTCAAGAAGTAAGTGCAGTTAAAGACTGAAGTTTACTGTTACTTTGTAGCATATTTATGAGTTGATCAAAAGGTTGTGTTGACACATATATTTTAAAATTTCAGCACAGAAAAAATTTGTAAAATGAAACTAAAGCTGTTTGTGGTATATCAAACATTTAATTGTTGATAAGTCCATTTTGAACTTCTAATCAGAAACATAACCAAGCAATCTATTTAATAAATCTGTTCAGTTGGCCTGTAAAATTCTGATATTTAGTTTAACCATTTTTATTGGCAAAAATTTGGTCAAAATTGAGTGTTTTTTGTTGAATAACTTTGCACATGTGGCTTATATTTAGACCAAATTTGACACCTAAATTTAGGTTGTAAAGATCTATCACTTTACCAGGTTTGAAAAAATCCATGAAAGTTAAGTATGTTTTGCTATCAAATAAAGTTTCCATACTTTTGGTGCGAAGCAAAGAAAATAGGAAGAAATTCAATCAAAATTGGAGATTTTATATCTTGTGTATTTTTTAATGGATTGATTTGAAATTTGGTATATGAAGTAAAGGCCCAGTAGAGCACATCTACTGAAAATATGTGATAGTTTGGGCTACCACAGTTTGAGCTGCAGAAAGTGGAAAATTGCTAAACTATCACTCCTGTTAATAACACAAAGTGTGTCCTGCAGGTTGTTTTGGCCAAATGACAAACTACTGTGTGTCTTGGTTGACTGTTAAGTCTAGTGATATATTTGTGGATTCTAACATTGCTCAGTAAAAATTACATATGAAAAGATTCATGTTCTTTAATTTCAAATCTAAGTCTTTACTGAAGCCATTTAGTGTTGGTTAGACTAGAGATTTTGTGGTATTGTACATTTTACTTGTACTTGTAAATGATAAAAACTATTTTCTAGTTTGGATTGATAATAAACGAGTTTCCATTAGTTATTATGGACATATTTAAAAACACATTCTATATGGTTGCAATGCCTTATTTTTGATAAAGCAGCTATGAAAAGGTGGAGTTGACAGTGTTTGTTGGTAAGGCTCTGTTGAGAAATACTTAATTTATTTTTAGCTTTAACCCACCTTTTATATATATTCTAGTAATGTTGTAAGCATAGATTGTTTATTCGATGACGAGGAACCCACTTTGAGACTAATAATGGCTGGAGACGGCTTAAATGGGTAATGAAGAAAAACTTTAATATAAGTTTAACATGACAGCAAATGTACAACGTTTCGACAAGGTTTTGTCATCATCAGATGTTTATGATATACCTATAATATCTATAGTGTAAAGAATTTGTTGTACATACGTTTAACT